CCCTAGAAGCCTGAACAGGTGTATTATTGTGATCGAAAACCATTCTTAGGTGCAACATCCTGGCCTTTCCTTCACCAGTGCAGTTTTCATAAGACTTCTTCCTAGTAAGCATTCTTCAATTTCATGTGTCCTTTGAGCAAATCTACCAGGATTACCCCTTGTGAACCCCAAGCAGTCCTGATAACTTTCTGTACGGATTTCTCTGTTTGGGATTTCACCTGCCCTGCACACCCCCCTTGGATTGGGCTTTGCTCTTTGGTTCATGTTGGTGCATTCAAGACCTTGGTTAGAATTCATGCCGTAACCATGTCTTCATTAGGGTCGCTCTTCCTCGGGAGACTGATGGAAAGGTCCGGTCTTCGAGCTCACCCACCTTCCTGCCGTGTTTTTGACACGCATCAAGGTGAAAGCTTTTGAATCCAAGGTATTAATTTAAGTTGAAAATGTCAAACCACGTGAGATTCTAAGTTCAGTAACTGTTGCCTCAATGGTGATTCTAAGGTTGTCTTCCATAAGTTTCTGGACCTCAGCCACTATCCTCATTTCGCAAAGCTGATAATCTTCCTTTTTTCTTGGCTCATTTTTAAGGTCTCCCAACCTTCCTTGTTCAAATCTGTATTGCTTTTGTGGTTGCTTTACATTTACAATTTCTGTTTTAGGATGAGTAAAATTTTTCCATGACAAGTACTTAGAAACAGTTAATAAATGTGTTCACATTCATTTTTTGATACACATCTTTAAGTTTTGTAGATAAATAGTAGTTCTTCACATAGTCCAGCTTCGGAGTTACTTGCTAAGGGCATTGATTGGATAAGTATGTTGAACAAGTAAAACCCTGATGGAAACCTCTCCTGATTTGAAACTCCCCAAAGCCCTGGTCCTCTTCTAACGGCTGCCTCGTGGTGTCTGTATGAGTAGAGGTCCTGCATGCACACAGCGACGTGTTTGGGGACTCTCATTCTTCATGATTTCATCCATAATGTATCAAGATCTATGTAGTATTAAATTAAAAGTGGCGCAGAGGGAGGTGGGTGGGGTGCCAGCCCCACCCGCTGCTAGAACTCACTGGTTCAGTAATACTACTTCTGGGTTCAGTAATACACAATTGTACGGTTGAGATATATAAATATTATATTAAAGTCATCGAGAGCATGAGAGATATTACAATAATACAGTCAGACATGTTACATGGTAGCATTGCTCACCTCAGCCCAGCTTGGTGGTCCACGTGGAGAGAGGGGGAAGGGAAGGAGGGCAAGGGAACAAGGGAGAGGGGGAAGGGAGGGGAGTGACCAGGGAGTGAGCAGCAAGGAGGTCAGAGTCCGAGAGCTCTATATTGCTGACCCACGCCTATATGCCTTTTGGGGGCATGCCAGACCACTAATTACAGGTAGAGACATACGTCACAGGGAGGGCCTGCACTATAGGTTACACAGTAATGAGGGGGTGGTCTAGGGGATGGTCTCTGGGTCTCCATAGGAACCATTATCAGTAGGGTCCAAACTCCACCTACAGGAGCCTGTCCATTATCCCCAGCGGCAGGGAGCAGGCCCACCCCTGTGGTCGGATGAGACAGCAGTCTGGCAACTGATTGCCCTCAGTGGGGGGAATGCCTGCTCATCTGACCTCCCCCCACAGATCTACACAGTCAGATGCCTTTGTATACTTAATGAAACAGAAAGAAACATTGTTTGGGTCCTCTCTGATTACAGCCAAGATCCATCTGGTATCAGCAATGATACCCTTATTTCAATCGCCTCCTTGGGTCGTGGGTTGAATTTATGGCAGCTTCATGCTAATGTGCTGCTGGATCCACTTTTGAATGATCTTCAGCATAATTTTACTTCCTTTAGATATAATTTGATATTTTCCCACGATTTTTTACCTTTTTTTTTTTTTTGGTAATGAGCACAGACATGAATCTTCCCATATGAGCTTGATACTGCAATTTGAAATTTCTTGGCGTACATGCCTAAACTTTTCCAGAGTTTGATTCATTTATTCAAAGGTTGTAATTAGTATTCCATAAATTCCTAAAGTCTGGGTTCTGTTGAACACCTTCGGTGCTGCTTGGATTTCTTCTGTCAATTCCATCAGTTTTTTATTGTGATGGTTCGGTTTTATGTCAATTTCTACCAGCAGGAAAGTGTAGAGGTGGAGTCCAACCTATCAATCAAAGGACATCCTGATGGTGTCTCCTTGGGGGTGGGGCTTTTTATAGGGAGACACTGGCAAACTTTGTTTCTCTCTTGCCCTTCATCCTTCCTGCTTGATTAGATTCTGTGAGTCTCCAGCTATGGCTCTATGTGGGCCACCAAACCTGGGAGCAGTCAGCACCCTGATATGTTCCCATTGACCTTGGATCCTTACAGCTCTGCATCCACTGGACTGTGATCTCCCTGCTTACCTTCCACTTCTCTGTGGCCTCAGTCTACAGCTACTTAGGCCTGAAGAGAGCCCCGGCTAGCATTGGACCCATGAACTTGAATTCGGTTGAGCTGGGAAGCCTTTTTACTATAATAATACTTCTTCATATTAAGTTCTTTCTTCTACATGAGTATGAGCTTTGTTACCACTGGTTTTGTTTCTCTAGATGACTCCGTCGAATACATCACCTTGTTCCTGAGAGTGGCTAATTCTTCAAATGGCTGAACCCACACCAATGTTTTGGGGTGTCGTGACTCTGGATTTCTTCCATCTTCTTTTGATGTTTCCCGCTGAATTTAATATTCTGTCCACAGAATCCTTCAATATTGCAACTTCTTCAATATAGAAATCCTTTAATATTCTCTTCAGTTCTTTTATCTAGAGAAATGCTGAGCATGTTCTTCCTGTCTGGTTTTCAAACGCCAGATATTTTCAAATTTCTTTATACGTTACATAGTATTCTGAACTGTCTTTTAAAATCTTATGTCCAACTGTTTTAATTCATCATTTCCTCAAGTCACTTTAGCTACTCTACATTCAAGAGCAAATTTCAGAGGCTCTTGTGAGATCCATCTTGGTCATTTCTTTGCTTCCTGCTTAATGATCATTTGCTTTCTTCGTGTCTGCTGTTCTTGATGTCATCTCCCAACTTGTCTTGTCTTTGGTCATTAGTGTTTAATGTGCCAACTCTATTGCTGAGATAGTCCCCAAATTCAGATGTGTTAAGCTCACAGATGCATTTTGACTCTTGTAGACTTGTCTAAAGGGTTTTGTTTTTTCTTTAACAACGAATGGATCAGGTGATCTTTAATCCCATATGGATCAGGTGATCTTAAATCCCATACAACTCTGAGCTGGACAATCCAGCTTTTATGAAATGGGATTGAAAGGATTTCATAAAAGGTCCTTGAAAAAATTGGTGCAGCTGTAACCAAGGGTCTGTATTGGCTGCAAATGGGACCTGGGAGTATGGGTCCTTTCATGCAACACTCAGAGGGCATGTGGAGATCTGGGGTGGGGACTGTTCCAAAAAGGTGATGGGGAGAGTAGTGGACCAAGAGCCTGGCTCCCAGGAAGGGTCTCTAATGCTTGTAGGGATGCTGGTCCAGGACTGAAGGGTGTGTCCTGGAGACATAGAGTCTGCTGAAGGTAGGAGTGGAATACAGGAACTCACATGAGGAAAACACACCACTCAAGAAGGGAAATGATCATTTAGCTCCCAACTGTATGAAGACAGCTTATTAAGAAAACATAGGATGACAGGACTCCCAGACACAGGATGGCTATGGGATCCCACACTCAGACTGGCCACTCTGTGGTATAGTCACTAAGGCACCAATGACTACCTCGGTGTACTCTCAGACAGACTGTGGGAGCCCCTGTGGCAGGGACATAATTGAGACCCCTGGATCATCTGTGAAAGACCAACAGACAGAGATGGGTTAGAAGGAACTCAGACACCCTGGAAGAAAAAAGACCCTTAGAGTTCACAGTCAGGCGGGAACCCAGGGACAGAAGGAGAGCGGGGGCTTGTGTTAGTCAGGGTAGACTAGAGAAACAAATCCAGAGGGACTCATATGTGTATAGGAAAGAGCTTTATATACAAGAGCAATTCAATATTGAGAAAACACCCAGCCCAGTCCAGAACAAGCCCATAAGTCTGATAATAGCCCATATGTCCAATACCAATCTATAAAGTCCTCTTCAGAAACACATGCAATGACACCAAATGCAGGAAGATCACAGGCCAGTGGGTGGGAAGTCTTGTGGATCCAGTGGCATTGTAAGCATCTCAGCACTGGCAGGGTCCTCCACGTGGCTCCTACAGTTCCCAGGGCGTGGGGTCTATCAGCATAGTGCCATGTGTCTTGTCAGTAGAGTCTCTCAGGGAGTGAGCAGAGAGAGAGTCTACTACCTCCAAAGAGGATATACAGTAATTCCCAGAACCCTCAGGGAAAGGCCATGCCCACACAGAGGCCTCATTGGCTATACAATGATTGACAAGCTAGACTCCACCCCTTAGCTAATAATCCTCTCAAGTTGATGACAGAATACATAACTACCACAGGGCTGTAATCCTAAAGGGAGAGGATGAGCCTCTGCCCAATAGAGGTCATATCCAAATATACAGACTGAGTAGGACAGGGGTCCAGGCGGTGCTGAGGGCGGGAGTGGGCAGTCAGGTGCAGGTGTGGGCAATGAGGTACAGGTGTGGGCAGTTAGGTGCAGGTGTGGGCAGTGAGATAAAGAACTGGGAAGTGAGGTGAAGGAGTGGGCAGTGAGGTGCAGGTGCCCATGGGTTAGTGCTTGGGGCATGGGTAGCAGAAACAACTAAGGAAGAATTGGATCCAGGAAAGACAGGAATTTTCAGGGGGCATGGGCCACACTGAGCAGTCACCTTGGGGAGCTCTGCTCCGTACATCTATGTGCCCTGGGACAGTGTGTGGTGTGCTATCTGCCACAAGTCCAAGCTTACCAGCCACCTGTCCATCTGCACCCCAACTGGGACCTACAGCTCAGGTCTGGCATCCACGTGCAGGAGACATGAACAGAGAATGACTTGGGCTCTGGGGTCACCTTCGGCAGAAGGGCAGAAGCTTGGCCAGGGCTCGTTGGACCTCAGCATTCCGCAACGTGTAGATGAGCGGGTTCAGGGTGGGACTCAGTGCAGTATACAGCACTCCAGCCACTTTGCTCCTCTCGGGGCTGTAGCTGGAGGCTGGGCTGACGTAGGCATAGAACACAGCCGTGTAGTACACACAGACCACAATGAGGTGTGAGGAGCAGGTGGAGAAGGCGCGGTTCCTTGAGGCTTCCTCATTCCCCACTATCTTGATCCCAGTGCTGCTTCTCAATGGAGACTAGTCTGGAGTCTGTACACAGGTATAGATAAGAGATGGGAGCTCACAACACGTGGAATCCAGGAATGGGACTAGCAATACCAGAAGGGCAGGGGGAGGGGAAGGAAGAGGAGGGGAGAGAGAGAGAACGGATCACAATGATTGACACATAACCATACACCACCACATCCTCCAGGGGGAAGAACAACAGAAAATATGGGGGAAGGGAGACAGCGATCGGTGTGAGATGAAAATAATAATAATTTATAATCTATCAAGGGGTCATGGGGAGAGGGGAAAAAGAGGAACTGATAGTCAGGGCTCAATAGAAAGTAAATGTCTCAAAAAGAATGACAACATATGTACAAACATGCCCGATGCAATCTTTGAAATAAGAGTTGTAAGAGCCCACAACAAAATGATCTTTTAATAAAAATAAAATTTAAATGCCCATAAATAAATAAATGATGAGTAAATATTACTAAAAACTTTAATCTGAAAATTTAACGACTTAGATTGGTTGGACAATTCCCTGGGACACAAAAGCTATCTCACACAGATAGAAAGGTTTGCTTTGTATTTCACTTGACCGGTAATGCAAGTCGTGCCAGGTCCCCACCAGCGAGTCTGTCTCTGGAGACACAGGAAAATATCCTGCAGTTCAAAAAACTTCACAATGGGAAAGGAAAGGTAATTAAAGTTTGTGAGAGAAACTGAAAATTAAGTATAAATGTTGAATGAGATGTTTCAAATAGTATATGCATCCTAATACAGTGAAAACACTAACTTTTAAAAATCTTTTTATTGGGGGTTCATACAACTCTTATCACAATCCATACATCCATCCATTGTATGTCAAGCACATTTGTACATTTGTTGCCCTCATCATTCTCAAAACATTTGCTTCCTACTTAAGCCCTTGGTATCAGCTCCTCATTTTTCCCCTTCCTCCCCACTCCCCGTCCATCATGAGCTCATTATAATTTATAAATTATTATTGTTTTGTCATATCTTACACTGGCCGATGTCTCCCTTCACCCACTTTTCTTTTGACCATTCCCCAGGGAGGAGGTTATATGTAGATGCTTGTAATCAGTTCCCCCTTTCCAGCCTCTGGTATCACCACTCTCAGCACTGGTCCTGAAGGGATCATCTCTCCTGGATTCCCTGTGTTTCCAGTTCCTATCTGTACCAGTGCACATCCTCTGATCTAGCTGGATTTGCAAGGTAGAATTGGGATCATGATCGGGGGTGGGAAGCATTTAAGAACTAGGGGAAAGTTGTATGTTTCATCATTGTTACACTGCACCCTGTGAAAACAAAGTGGGTACATAAGCAAACGTGGTGAAGAAAGCTGATGGTGCCCGCCTATCAAAAGGTATAGCATCTGGGGTCTTAAAGGCTTGAAGATAAACAAGCAGGCATCTAGATCAGAAGCAACAAAGCCCACATGGAAGAAGCACACCAGCCTGTGTGATCATGAGGTGTCAAAGGGATCAGGTATCAGGCATCAAAGTACAAAAAAATCAAATAATTGTGAATGAGGGGGAGTGAAGAGTGGGGACCCAAAGCCCATCTGTAGGTAACTGGACATCCCCTTACGGAAAGGTCATGGGGAGAAAACGAGCCAGTCAGAGTGCAGTGTAGCCACGATGAAAGCATTAACTTTTAAGGTGAAGTTAAGGCAAACTCATTACCGTGGAAGAATGAACATTTTCAGAGCTGTCCCTCCTGCCCTGGGGGTAGTTGCATCCTCGGACTGATATGGGGGATACCACAGCCTGAGTTTGACCTCGAATATGTTCACATGAAGCAACAGCCCTTGGGAAATAGCTCGTTGTCTGTGGGAAGGAGAGACTAGATGGATGGTCGGCATCTCTGGCTTAAAATTATTCTTTGTCTTTCGGGGATGGTCAGCAAAGGAAGATTTAAGAAAATATAAAGTGATAACTGAAAAGCTAAAAGCAATTGAATTTATACTACCAAGATTTTGATAATATCATTAAAACAATAGAGATCATATAAATGCTGTCATAATTCTGATCATTTGACCATGTTTCAAGGCATCTGAGACTTTTAAAAGACTTTAAAATGGTCCGGGCGCTGAGGCAGCTGGGAAGATGGCGGTGGGGACCACTGCATTGATGGCTTGGGCACTTTGTCAGATCTTGGCTTGGGCAACTGTTTCTTTCAGTCCCCGCGGAGGCCTCGGCGCTTTCCTAGCATGGAAGCCAGAATGGGCACCACGTTGGTTCCCAGATACATACTTGGTTTGGAGTTAACATTTTCAAACTTTGATAATCAGTCTGTTAAGTACCATTGAGTGATAGCAACCCCATGAGACACGCTGGACCTCCCTCCAGGGCTCCCCTGGCCGTCGTCAGGGTGCCATGGGTCCTGACCACTGGACTTCTGGCTTGCAGGCAGGGCATCACTCTCTTTCCGGAATCTAACAGAGTTTCCAGGCCTGGCTTCTACGCAGCTGAAAGACAAAAGTCCAGGCATTGTCTTCATCGCTGACTCTCTCTAAAGCAGTGGTTCTCAGCCTGTGGGTCATGACCCCTTTGGGGGTCGAATAAACCTTTCACAGGGCTCTCCTAAGACCATCGGAAAACACATAAATATTTCTCAACATATAATTACATATTGTTTTGTGATTAACCACTATGATTTAATTTATGTTCAATTCGTAACAATGAAAATACATCCTGCACATCAGATTCATAATACAATTTATATTACGATTCATAATAGTAGCAAAATTACAATTATGAAGTAGCAACGAAAATAATTGTATGGTTGTGGGTCACCACCACATGAGGAACTGAATGAAAGGGTCCCAGAGCAAAAGCTCTGGCGGTGAGGGGTTTGCCCATCTCTAGGTCACTCACGCCTGTATGCGGTTTGATGATGCGGGACTTGGACAATCAGATGGCGTTTCAGAGGAATGCACAGTGGGGAGATGGAGGAAAGATGCTCTTTCTGCATTTGATGAGTTAGCTGAGGTGCCACAAAGACTCGTTGGATGCAGTCCAGGTGGACGGTCTGTGCTCCATACTGCCATGGCCCGGCCGGAAACATGGCCGCTCTTACTGGGGAGGCTGCTTCTCCAGATAGTTTTGCGACAAGCTTCCATCAGCTTTCTCCTGAGGTGGAAAGGAAATAGAGATGAAAGGCAAGTGGTCAATACCAACGAAGCCTAGTGAAGGAGGAGCCTGTTGCCTTCAGGACAGTTTCCTTGAAGACACAGGGCCCCACTGCCTGCTACCGAGCCCCATCCCTGTGACTGCCCAGACGCTGAATCCGCGGCATGAAGCATGGCCTGGAGCCCCACAGACCTCCACGCAGGCTGTTGCGGGAGCTCTCAGCACAGACGTGGACGGCAGCCTCCGGAAGAGTGACCACTGCATGGAGGGAAAGGTGACATTGAGCTTCTTGTTGCTACTATCGATGACTTAATTGACACAACATCATCTTGAATTATGCTATGGCATAGAGAAATATTTTAAGGTGTAGTTGGTTAGAACCACATTCTTAGTTGGCATGCAACTATTACATTCAGAAAAGAGAAGAAATATTTTCCCTTATCTGTATTATGTAAATATCCATTTAACATTTATTTAATGGTGTATTTGCACAAATGATACAAATTGTGAAGAAAATAAATTACTTCTTTCTTCAAAACAAATAAATAAAAGAATCCTAAATATTTTTTGTAATCAACATATGAAATTTGATTAAATGAGTTTTAGATAATTTTCAATGTCTAAGAAAATGTAAGATACAAAATGCATATTTTAATTTATTAGTGGTATAGGCAGTGCTTACGACTTACTAGAACTTTAGAAAATGTATATGAACAACAAATGAGATATTAAACACAATCTATTGTCCTCTAATTCCAAGAGCCATATGGATGAGAGCCCTGATCTCCCAATGGCCTGCTTGTGTGGACAATTCACCCGTTGGCTGAGGGTTCTCCCCGGGGAAATGCCAGTCCTTCGAGTGAGTCTTTCTTCTCGGGTTAGTCATTTACTGGAACGAGGAACGAGTTTCTTAAGGGCAGCTTTAAACTCCTTGTTCCTCAGCGTGTAGATGAGGGGATTCAGAGTAGGCGTCACGATGGTGTAGAGGACAGCGACGGCCTTGTCCACGAGTCCAGCGGAGCCCAGGACCGGTCGGACGTAAGTGTAGAGCACAGTGGAGTAGTACAAGGTGACCACAACAAGGTGGGAGGAGCAGGTGGAGAAGGCGCGGCGCTTGCCCTCAGCTGAGCGGATGCGCAGGATACTGGAGATGATGCAACCATAGGACACCATGGTCAGCAGGAAGTTCAGGCCCGACAGGAACATGTCTGCAGTGATGGTCAGCACGTCATTGAGGAAGGTCGGGCTGCAGGACAGCTGCAGCACAGGCGGGATCTCACAGAAGAAATGTGCGATGAGGTTGGGGCCGCAGAAGGTCAGCCGCAGGACCAGGCCAGTCAGCAGAAAGGCATTGAACATGCCTGTGGACCACACAAAGGCTGCCAGGGCCACACAGGCCCTGCTGCTCATGAGGGAGCTGTAGTGCAGGGGCCGGCAGATGGCCAGGTAGCGGTCATACGCCATGGCAGTGAAGAGCAACAGCTCAGAGCTCAGCGACCAGGTGAAGAAAAACATCTGGCTGAGGCAGCCTCCAAAGGAGATGGTGCTGTCTGCAACCAGGCTCTGCAGCACCTTGGGCAGGATGGACGAGGTGCAGACCATGTCCAGCACAGCCAGGTTGACCAGGAAGAAGTACATGGGGGTGTGCAGGTTAGGGCTGCGCTGGATGGCTGCAATGATCAGGCCGTTCCCTGCCAGAGCCACTGTGAACAGGGTGAAAAAGAGGCAGAAGAGGGCCCCCTGCAGCCACGGGTCCTGGGTGAAGCTCTGCAGGATGAACACGCTCACCGTGTGGTTCCCCGCGGCCATGGGAGACGGTTGGGCTGCATCTGGTGGACCCCTCGCTGAGGGCCACTTCCTAGGCAGGAGCTGATGGATTGGTTTCTAGCTGAGAAACACAAAGGGGGCAGCTTCAGTAAGTGAGAGGCCCTGGAGAGGGGTTGTGGGCGTTGTCAAGGCCCCACTTGAGTTCCTGTCTCATTCATTAGGAGACAACACAAGCAGGGGGAGGCAGGTGCAGTGATGGGTCAGCACCGAGCATGTTGACGGCCCTGCATCTGTAGGTGCTAGATCATGACCTGGCCGCACCATCTCCAGAGAGAAGGGTGTCCTGTGGAAGCGACTTCCTCCACCTTACCCAAGAGGCCGAGAGAGGAGGGTGTGGCCAGTGTGCGCAGGTGCCAGACACACTACAGGCCCTAGGACACCTGGAGGGGAAGCGGGGGTAGTAGGGTGAGGGGCACTGGAACTGGGGGAGGGAGGGAGGAAAACGAGACTGCCTTTCAGGGAACAAGCACCTGCCCCTCACAGAACAAGCAAATGGGCTCCCTGCCGCAGGTGTCAGAGAGTGCTAGGGGCAGAGAGCGCTACATCTCCAAGAACTACCCTTGCCCCTCGCCACAGAGGCAGAGTAAGGCCATGGAATAAGCGGCAGTGCAGGAGCTCCACCAGCCACCAGCCCAAGAGGAAGCCCTGGGAGCAGCAGGACCTCAGCCACAGGAGGACGTGGTACAGGGGTTGGAAGAGGCATGCCCAGAAGTTGGCATCCGTGTTCATGTTGTGAACACTGATGGTGCAGAAGCCTTGGGGCTTCCTGGAGAGCACGCCACGGCTTGCTACCCCCAGGATGTCCTCAACACCACCCGAGGATCCCGGTTCCTGGCAGCTGGCCAGGAAGCTCTTGAAAGACAATCTAGAACCAACATCCTCCTGACCAGATGAATTACTGACAAAGAGGAGAGGAAGCTGGCTGAGCCCACATCAGTGGGTGCAGAGCAGCACCCAGCTCCCTGGGCGCAGGGACACTCGGGTAATGGAGGTATGGTTCTACGCAGGCATCAAAGGGGCAGGGTGGTTCTGTCATTTGGCTGACTCGGGTGGGTACCCATTTACAGGCTAGTGTGGCATCTAGATGAGGCTCCAGTGCAGCTCCCGGTGGCCTGAGACAGTGTGCAGAGTGAATGGTTCCTGCCTATCTCACCATAAGCTGGCTTATGTTTCCAGAACCATCGCAGGAAGGAATGAAGGTCCTGGTCACACAGGAAGCCGTCTGTTGCTCTCTCTGTGTGACATAGTCACAAACCAGGATGCTTCCAGTGTGGTCACGGCCTGGTCCTTTGAGGCACTGGCACAGACTCTGTGGGTGACAGCAGCTCCCAGACTGACTTTACGGAGCTATGTGGGAAGGGCTGGGGAGCAGACCCCAGGCCCCAGAGGATAAGAACCCACCAAGCAGCTGCCTCTTCCCTCAACCCCAGTGGCATGAACTCTGGTCCTTCAAGCTGCTTGTGTGTGTGCCAGTGTGCCAGTAGGATGCTGCCCTGCACCCACCCCAGAATGCAAACCAGGGCAAAGAGTAAGGAGGGGCTCAGACAGATGCTGGCTAGGGGACTTGGCTTCATCTCCAGAACTGCTATAGCAGAAAGATCGCAGAGGTGGTGAGAGCAAACAGGTGCTACTTTCTCCCAGCTTAAGAGGCTGGAAGTCCAGTCTCAGGGTCATCTCTCTCCACTGGCCAGGGAAGAAGGCTGCTTCCAGGTTCCTGGGAGGGCTCCCTGAGGCTTGGCATCCACCTTCCCACATCTGCTGTTTTCGTGTGCTTGTGTAAGCTCTTGCATCTCAAAAGAGATTGATCTAAAGCACACTGTAAACTCAGCGTGTCGTCTCATGGACACCACCAAGAGCCCAGGCCCACACGCTGCTCCAACTACCGGCAGCGAGGTTACGATTCACCCCACATGTTGTGGGGACAGGACTCGATCCACAGCAGTCTTTTTGGGGATGACGCCTCTGTTCAGCTGTTCTAGCTTGTGGTGGAGTGAGTCATGCTGCGACATGCTAGCGGGTCAGTCTCCTGCCACAGCCCAGGAGACCTCCAGACCCAGCCCCCACTTGCTTTCTGCACAGGACACATGGGGTTTGGACTGTGCTGGCAAAATGGCCAGTCTGATGGCTCCTCCAAAAGAATGACTACTTACTTGCTGACCCTGCCCTGGGCGCAGATGAGCACTCCTGGGTCCAGAAAACAAAAATGCGGATGGCCGGGTGACTCTGAATCCCAGATGCAATGTAAGCACGCCCCAAACAGGAACAAACAGTTCAGAAAAACACTGGTCCTAAAAATGTCTGCTGTGTGTCTGCATTCAAATCTCACCGTGCTTCCCAGGCAGCCCGCTCTGCTGTTGGAGGTACCGGTGTGGAGGTGGATATGCCATGTACAACGGCCCACCTGTGGGTGCCTGACAGGGTCAGTGTCTGCACGCTGAGTCCACTCCTGCTCCCTTGAATGCTTCCCAAAGACAGCCGGGTACAAGCTGAGCATGGCCTGTGTGGGACGGAGGTATCCGGGCTGATCCCGGGAGCCGTGCACGGATGTGAGAAGTCTTCACATCACAGCAGGAGCCACCCAGTGATGGGGAAGATCTGGGGACAGTGGGGGTGTGGGGGCCTGTTGTAGAGCTATGAAGCTTTGGAAGCAAGAAGAAGCAACTGCAAGCTTTGGTGGGTAGCTCTGGTTGGGGGAATGAGCCCTGCCTCCCCCACCTCGAGGAGGAGAGTCCATGGCCAAGACTGAGTGCTGCCTGCTCTTGAATTATTAGCGCAATCCCTCCATTGTGCTTTGTGCACTCTTGACCCAGACCCTTCGTGAGCTCTCCCGGAAAACAAAGTGCCTACTTTTCTACAAACGAGGGCCGGCCGTGGACGTTCTGGGGTGTGTTTCCTACAGACACCAAAGTAAAGGACGACAACAGAGGGACAGACACAGAGAAGGGCACAGAGGTACAGACACATGGACACACAAACAGGAGCGAGCCGTGTAGTCCTGCTCTCCCTCCCTGCACCCAGGCCCCCACTCCCCTCTGCCTTGCACCCTGCACTACGGAAGCCACATGGACTCTTTCCCTTGTCCACCTTTTCTTTAACATTGAAACGCAGACTCCCTCACTGAGCATCAGAAGTGCTCGCAGAAAGCCCTTTATGTCCTCTGACATATGGGGAGCCTGGGCTCCAAGGATGGCTGTTTGCCTATCACACTGGCGGGGGTGGGGTGGGGGCAGGGGGTGGAAGGCACAGCACAAGATTTAAAAGCAACTCACATCAAAAGCTTTTTTCTATCTCATGAAGTGCTCCAGCAAAGCCCCCAAGACAAGTCCACCCAACCGCTGGCCATGGCCACCTGCCCAATGAGGGGCTTGCTCCTTGGAATGAGGCCACTGTCATACCCCATAAACCATGACACGGAGCCCTTTCCTCACCTTGCCAGGTGCTCCAGCGTGGCCACAGTCTGCTGATCAGGGACACAGCGGTACTGCGGGCAGAGGTAACTTTGGTTTTTAAGTAGAGGGAGCCCTAGCCATGTGATGTGACCATGGAAGCGACTGCACCCTTGGGAATCTTGCCCTGGGTCTCACAGAAATGGCTTCAGATTTGCTGTGAACCGTGACCATGGGGAACACACTATGGGCAGCAAGGGCAGCAGGGTGTCACAAAGGAGGTGGCGACTCTGGAGAGGTCCACTGGGCTCACCCCAGTCTTTCTCCCTGACGCCTAACCACACACACCTGTTCCCTGGGAGCGACCCAGTGCTCTGTGCCGCACAAACACCTGGAGGAAATGGCCCCTGAGTGGCTGAGACCTGCAGTTGGGTGATGAAGGACTAATGGTTCTCTGGCGGGGTCCCAGGTTCCGCTCAGCAGTCCCAGGGACTCTACAATATTAGATTCATGGGGCCGCCTTTCTCTTCCTGAGAGATAGCCACGCACCTGACTAACTGCTAATTATTTTCTACTGAAAACTGACACCTCATCATCTTTGCTTAGAGCTGTAAAATAATTAGTAGGATAATAAATGTGTTAGTCACTTTGAAAAGGGCCAATTAGCAATGTAATTTTCTGACCTGCAAAATCCACTTATAAAGGACAGGATGAAAACTTGGTGTTGATCAACTTTTGGATGGGATGGGAGTCTCCCAGGGCTACTTCTAAGGTTAATCTACAGCTCGCTTTTCTTCCTAATTTAATATTAATTTGGATTTTTGACATATATGATATCATTGCATAGTTCAATTAGAGTTCAGTTTTCTATTATATCAAGTGCTCCTCTTCATTGAACTACGAGTTCTACCCAGAATGCATGGATGCGTGGGAATCCCACTGAATTTTAGGATCGATGTACTTTCAAAAGTATGTGCTTTAACCTGTTGGTGTTGGAGACACAGTCGTGGAGCACTTTGTTGTTAGTGGTGAGGAGGAAGCTGGTCCTGTGTTGGACTTTGGAGCAGGAGGGTCGTGGAAGCAGAAGCCTGCTTCTCCAGGAGAGCTTGGCCAGACGGGTAACGGGCCCGTGGCACCCTGAAGAGCACGTCTACTGCAGTTCCTGCTTTCCAGAGGAATGCATCGGAACACACAGTTTCTGTGCACACTGAGAGTGGTCACAACGGTGCTGGCTGGGCGCCCTCTGCTTCCGTGGTGTAGGCTAGTGCTGACAGGAGCATCTTTCGCACAAGCCCCATGGGCTGGTGAAATGGAAAAGTGTGTGGTTTTTAGAAGAAGGGTAGGAGGACCCCCCAGCACTCTGGACCAGGTGGTGAGCCTGGTGCCCGAGCGGCGCTGCTGGCTCCTGACGTTGTGTGGGGATGTGGGAGCAGCGAGGACACGCTGGACGTTCTGAGCTGGTGGCTTCTTGAGGTGACTCGTTGCCAAGCTGTCAGGAGAGAGAGATCAGCTCACGCTCCTCCTGCGAGCTTTTCGGCGATTGTGATGGCAGGGATGAGCGGGTGAGGGGTTCCCTGGCCGGTGCTAATACAGAGG